ACCCTTCGGAGTATCCTTAGGGGTAAAGTGCTCTAACAGTGCGATCACTATACCATTGACGGATTTATCGAAAAAGGACATTGCTGCAAACACAAACGCACCGGTAGACTAATATATATATAATAAATAAGTAAGTCATCAGCGGACAGGTATATGATTTTAATACATACGGTGTTAGAGCCAATCAAATCGCTAGTTAATGCCAAACTTGATATGAGTAGAGCCGTACCGCCGATGCCTATGAACGCCGACACTCCGTATATTTCCCACGCTTTATAGGCATCGCTATTGTTGCCGATAAATATCCAGGCACATGTGGCCACACCAAATGCAGCACCAACTATTAGCACCCACTAGCATTTATAAAACATTAATTAATGTATGATATTTTATAAAACATAAATATGTTTGAATATAAATATGAGAATAAATGAATAAATTATTTAAAAATCATTGTAACCTGTAATTTTGTCAAAACAACAATTTTGTCAACATACTAAATGCTTGTAATTAATATAATTGGTAGTCACAATTTTAGTCAAGAAGTTTGCAGTATTATGATTATTATATGACCCTCTCTAATTTGCTTTATAAGTTAATTTCATTACAATGCACTGCATAAACTACAATATTAACTTTCAAGTAAAACATACTTATTACTAAAATGTTATTTTTATATTAAATCTGCATGGTAATTAACAAAATTAGCAATGTAAGTTATTCAACTTATTTGACATGAATGAAAACATAGTGAACTAACCCGTGACCCAAATCGGGCGGACATGGGTTTGGCGGCGAAAGAGCAGACCAGTCCCGCGACATACGTGGCAAACGGTATGATTGCTATTGTTTGCTGCAAAAATAAATCAATTCAAATAAAACAAGCACATGCAACATGGCACTTTTCATAAATTAGCTCATAATCAAAAACATTACTAACCTTGGGCATTTCTAGAGTATTTTGCAAATATAGTGGTGTATACACCTGGGACAAGTTGACAAACATCCTGGCCATGGTGTACATGATGGTAATCTTCCAGAAGGCGAAACTCTTGAGCCAATGCGACCATTTCTTTTGGCCCGACCTGGCCTTAGCCCGCAAGTAGTCGCCCAACTCGACCGACTGGGGCTCCGGGATCGCGCATATGGATGGCCTACCGCTGCTGTCTGTGTCCGGCTGATTTTGGGCCAATAGGGTCATTGTGGTGGTCGACCCCCTCGAGTTTTGTAATAGCCGTTTGGTTTCCACTGTGAATACCGATGGACGTACTTTGCGGGGTTTGGGCGAATAATCAGGCTCCTTTACAAACACGTGGAACAGTATCGAGAATACTATTCCTATGGCACATACTATGTATGATACTTTCTATGGTAAGAATAAAAACATTTTTATTTTAGACCTAGATTCCTTTCAATGCTAAGTTTATATAATATTAAATTTATAAAACATTCCCTAATAAACTACTGCTAGTACTTTTATACTACTTTAAATAAATGCAATACTAGTCTTATGTAAAATGTTTTCAAACTGTAATGTTAATCGTTAAAAATACAACATTATGTTATACCACTTTATAAAATTAGTATTGGAGTTGTTCGAGGTGTTAAAATTTTATATTAATTTTAGAAATTAAGTTTATTATACCTTATAGCTGATAAATCTTATATTTTGAATGTTGGTAAAAATGA